GATGTTGTAACTTTGAATGGTCACTAAATGAACTGTTGTAAATCAAGGACTACTTGCATCTATATCAGTGGTCCCCAACCTTTTTTGGACCAGGGACCAGCGGCCCGGTACAAAATGATCCACGGACCAGTACTGGCATCAGCACGCAGGACCAAGGCAAGGCGAGCTGAGCGACCGGCCAGCCAGCCGTCCCCCGCTTCTCCCCGCCACCTTCAACTCCTCCTTTGTACCTTCTCGTGGTCGATGGGCTTTTCGGGCTCTTTCTTAATCTCCTCCTGAGTAACACGAGACTCCACCGCCATCAGGATGCCTTCATTCGAAGCCGCCCCCCCTTCGACGAAACTAAGGCGCAAGGATTCCTTCAGCACCCAAATGCCGTTTTCTGAAGACCGACAAGCTCACCCGGAAGCACTTTCTCAAGCGCCGTCAAAACAAGATGGCGGCGCCCAAGCAAAATAGGCAGCCCGGTACAAAATGATCCACGGACCTGTCCAGGTCCGGGGCCTGGTGGTTAGGGACCCCTGATCTATATAATAAATACTATATTTTCAAAATCTCAAAATACTGTAGTATTATCTACCTAAGTGCTCCTATGGTATTTTGGAGGCTTTGAAATTATTTTATAACAACACAAAAATACTTTTCTAAATTAAAAAAATAAGAACCGACATAAGGCATGGACACAAATTGATCTGTTGTCATGTAAAGATTGAATGATGAAACTATTGAAATTTCTGATTTTGGCTGAACTGAACTTTGGCTTGTCTCACTGCTAGATGCTGGATTTGCTGTAAATAATTTCCTTCCCTGACAAGCAAGAAGAAGCAATGTAAATATAACAGCTCTAGGCTTGGGTAGAATAAGTACTGTGGTAATTTGGAAGCATGGCAAGGGGATGAAGTAGCTGGAATCATTGGATGAATGTCCCCTATCTGAGATCATTGTTCTCTTTCCAAACTTGGAGGGAGAAATGTGAAATATCATTATCTCCTCTTGAACTTTGTTCCTAACCACTGTAGGTTTGCAACTTTGAAGTGTTACTAAAACCTGCTTTTTCTTTAGCTTATTCAAGGTTAACGGAGGCATCCAAACTCAATGATCACAGCCTATGATTCTAGTCTTCTCACTAAAGATAAAACTGATAAATCGTTTTTTAAAAAGACACTCACAAGGTTCCCCAGATTTTGGTCTCCCTCTTGAGGTTTAGAAAGTGCATTCTTGCAATGGCATAAACTTGCTGCCTCCAGAGCTCTGTGCCTTTCACGGTCACCTTTCCCGTGTCTGAGAGCAACAGCTGATCCTGTTCCGTTTCATCCTTTCCTGCCACTTCCCCTCCATGAAGAATTCCATAATCTAAAACCATTTTGAAAGTCAAAACAATAGTCTTATTTCAGCTGAAGGAAAATCTTGTTTATCCATGCTTACTCTCTCCTCTTCTCAAGTCCTCTTCTTCCTGTTGGCTACATCTCCTTTTACCAAAAGATCAGTCTAGCACCTTCCCTTGGGTCTTCAGAAATGATAGAAGAAAACAATGAAAATCCAGCTCCATAGTTATCACTGAGAGTTTTCTCAAGGAAGCCTGAAAATAATACAATATTGAAAACAACACTTTACCTTCTTCCTTTATATTTTCATTTCCTTCTAGCCTCAAGAAGACATCTTCCAAAGTCGTCATGGTAACTCCATAATTAATGAGCCCTAGGTTTGTCTGATGATCCATATCACTGAACAAATCTACATGTTGGGCAAGGGAAAACACATACCAAATTGATATATCCTTTCAACTTAAGGGAAAGGGCAAATACCCATTGGAATTTTGTGTAATTTCATTTCATTGAAAGAAAATGATCTTTTAGATGAACTGTTCTTAAGATTTGCTTTTAATTTTTTTTACCTCCTGAACCTATAACAAACCAGTTATAATCTGAGAAAGTTAATCAACATATCCACCATACATCAACACCATTTCAGAAGCATAAAAACGATCAATCCAATGAAGGCAAAGTTCATTTTAGAACTTTGGTTTATTTTACTTTACTTACGGAATCATTTTTAAAAAATATTATTCTTTGTTTATGAAGCGACTGTTTGTAAATTAAAAGATAACTCTTTATCTTGAAAAGCTGGGAATAACTGCAAGAGGGACAGTGATTGTGAAATCATCATTGGGAAATATGAAAGTAGACTATTAAACATTTTTAATAAAAACATTTCACCTTGAAGGCAGGGTATGTTAAAGTATATTTATATTGGAATTCAAAAATACTGGATTCTTAAAAGAATTTTAAATAATGACTCATTTTCTTATATTGAAAAGGTGGGAATAACTGCAAGAGGGACAGTTTTGCCCAAGAGAGAAAAATATGAAGTTTTTATTTATTAATATATATACAATAGTATTATGTGATTATCTAAAGAGCAGACTAATTTAATAAGAAGTATGCTGGTTAATTTAGCACAGAAACTGATTTCATCACAGGATTGTGAAAAGAACATTAGGTAATATACTGACATTTTTAAAAGCCATTGAAATCATTGTATTATTTAATATATTCATTGCTTCCAAAGCAAATTTATATTAGTAGATTACTAAAAACAGTACAGTATTTGAAAGATACATATTAATTTAAACTGAGCCTGGGTTGGAATACATTTTATTCTCTTTGAAAATTCAAGTCAAGTCAATTCACTCTATTTTTCTATTGTTTTCTTAGACTGTCATGACAGGGAACCTGTTGTTATTATTTTAAAGTATATATGATATAAATATGTATAATATTAATTCCCTAATAGTGAAATAAAATATTGTTCTCTGTAACCATAGTTTATAAATTGATAAAAGAGCAAAAGTATACTCTGACACAAAAAATACATTGTATTCATCACATATTATAAATGCATGGTTACTTATACAACAAATTTGCATTGGTATATTGGTGAGGGGCCTTTTATTTTCATAAATCTAATTAATCAAAGTTAGAATTGTGATTGTTCATTTTACTGTCATGTAATGATAATGACTTTTGTCTGTAAAAGATATGTCTTATATGATAGAGCAGTTGATTAAATTCTTTGGTTCTCTGTTTTCATGTGGTTAATCATATGAAATGTTAATTGCAAACTTAATTTTTAAATGGTTTTATTACATTTTAATCTGTATGTTGCTCAAAGGATAGAGCATTGGATAATACAAAATTTCATCTGGATTGGTAAGAAAAGAATATTAAACAACTTTCCTCTGTTGTCCAGGAAAGCATGGTTCACATGATCTCAGTGTTTGGTTTTTTAGGAAACAGCAGTTAAATTCATTTTATTTATACAGCTTGAAAATTACCTGGAAACTTATCCACATTTTGTAAAGGCAGGGTATAGCTCAGCTCATTCTCATGTTGTCCTGATTTTTTTGCAGCAGGGATGTGGTGTTTGACCAGTGATGTTATTCTCTCAAAGTTACAAAACTCATTTGTATGTATCCTGTTCATATTAATAACAATTTAGGTCAAGAGCAATGTCCAATTCATTTATTCAGAATATTAAATGAATCCTTCCAACTAAAAACCAAATTTCAGCTTATCTCATGCATCCTAAACTTCCATAAAGCAACTTAGTGCTGGTACTAGAGCTGACTTGCTACAATTAAAACATTTTAAAAATAGAACAGATTATGTCCTAGCTTATAATTGCCTCACTAATGCACCTTTCTTCATATTTAATTAAAACAATAGGATAGATATTAAAAAAAACTTTGTTTCCTTTCAAATGCATCTTTAAATCAGATTTGATTGGGGCATATATGATAAGAACTTCCTCAAAATATTTGGGAAATATGAAAGTAGACTATTAAACATTTTTAATAAAAACATTTCACCTTGAAGGCAGGGTATGTTAAAGTATATTTATATTGGAATTCAAAAATACTGGATTCCTAAAAGAATTTTAAATAATGACTCATCTTCTTATATTAATTTTATAAGATGGGTAATCCTGCTGGATCAAGACATCCATAGACCAGTATTTTGTTTCCCATAATAACTAATCAGAGTCTTCTGGGAGTTTTGCAAGCAATAGGTAGATGGTCAAATGTTGTTCTTTTCCCAATGATATTTTGAGGCAATATTGAACGGTTAGAATAAATAGCTCTTACTAGACCTTTCCTCCATGAATTCATCCATTTCTTTTGTGAAGCCATCCAAATTAAGAGCTATCACCATACATTATAATAATTAATGCCACAGGTTAATGATGCACTATATGTTCTAAAACTTCTTCCACTCACTTTCAGTCCTAGTGTTTTTTAATGGATTAAACTTTTCCAGTCCACGCCCTCTGTCCTATTCATAATGTTATATCCCTCAGTTGCCTTTTTTCCAATATAGGGTACTTTACATTCTAGCCAAATCTTACAACGAAGCTCAACACACAGAAACA